TCTCTCTCTCTCTCTCTCGCTCTCTCTGTGATTGTGTTGGACAGGGATCGAGTGGTGCTTCGTCATCGTCGGGGCAAGGTCTCGCCGTGGAGGACTCGGCCTTGGTCGTGTACCCCCGCGAGCTGCCGGACGACCCCAAGAAGTCGTTCGAGGCCATGCACAAGTTCCTCGTGAAGGAGCTGGTGGATGACGTCGCCGACAACGTAAGAGAATGGGACAAGGCGGAGAGAGAGGGGGAAGAGAGAGAGAGAGAGAGAGAGAGAGAGAGAGAGAGAGAGAGAGAGCGGGGGCGACGTTGTTTGCTGCTCCTTTTTGTGCGGCGTTGGACACGGCCGGGTTGTCAAAACACGTGTGCTCGTTCTCCCATGTCGATTGGTTAGAACTTGTCCTCGCAGTACGTAATAGGATTCTTGTGAAGCCGGCAACCGGCCGAGCTGTTGTTTTGGTAGGGGGATGTCGAACGTGCGGCATGAGTGCAGTTTACCCCCTCCGGTCGTCTTTTGGGCATTTCTTGTTGAAAGCCGGGTGTCCCCATTCCACCAACTGCGCGTGGTTTCTTCCTAGACCTTGTGTTGTACGACCCGGCGCTAAAAAAGCCAACACGCTGCCGCGAACCTATCGTGTAATTCTTCCTCTTCGGAACGCTTGGAACGTTTTCTTTTTTTCTTCTTTTCCGAACGCCATCAAATGCCATGGTACCAGTACGAGGGAATCCCGGCGCAGCTGGATTGGATCCAGGAGAACCTGGAGTACAACACCAAGGGAGGCAAGATGAACCGGGGGATGGGGGTGGTGGACGTGCTGAGAGCGTTCGCAGAGGCCGACGGCAGGGAGCTCCGCCACGAAGAGGTATAGGGGGGGGGAGGACCGCGGAGTTTTTTTTTCTTCCGGTGGTTTAGTTTGGAGGGACCACCTCTCCCGTACCATATCATTTCCGTCTTGCCCCCGGCAATGGCCATGTCCACGATCGTTCACCAGTAAGTGCGCGAGCATTTGTTAGGTCTCCGTCCTATGGAGGGGGGGTTTGGCTGCCACAGCAGTAGCATGCAACAGAGATAATCGGTGGCACTCAGGGCCCCAAAGAGATGCGTTGACGATATCAAAGGCATGCCAATGAGAAATGAGACCCCGCGTTTCACCCGGGTATAAGAGGTGCGTTGACGATATCTGAGACAAGGTGTCGATGAAAAACTACCCCCCCCCCCCCCCCCCCCCCCCCCCCCCCCCCCCCCCCCCCCCCCCCCCC